TTAATGGTAATTTTCTTCTAAGAAATTGGATTGAATCCAAACTGAACCGGGAATAAGAAAACTCGACCAAGGCCAACAGACTGAAACTCGCCGACGAACTCGAACTCAGCTTAACCTCAGTCAAACTCCGTAATTTTTTGCAGCAAAAAAGAAATAAACATAAACTCAAAATGATCCAAAAGAAACGAACAACAGTAGCGGCAACCAAATTGAACGAACGACAACTAGAATTCGAACATAATAGTTCATTGCTTCCAATCGATTTGAATAGGGTTGAACGAACGGCAACCTCAACGAATGAGCTCATTGCTGAGCTCCCCAATCCAACTCATTAGTGGCCAAAATTAGTTCAACAATCTGAGCTTCTATGAGTTAAAGGATTCGAAAGGTGTAGAACTAGAAATAGAAGATTTTTAATTGCGAAATTGGAGTTTAATAGGGGAAGGTGGTGTGGCGATTTGATCTTGGAATCGAGGGTTCCGACGAGATGTGGTTCTTTGGTCCTGAAGCAGAAGAGAGCCGATGGAGGGGAATTTTCGGTGGTTCTCGGCTGTGTTGTTTTTGTGGTTCAAGATGGAAGATGAAGATAGGGTTTCTATAATTGGCTATTTTATATGAAGGTGGGGAGGGATGAAGGCCATTGGATTAGAAGGAAATAGATGGCTAGGATTAAATCTTGCACATAAATGGGCTAATGGGTTGGGAAGAATGGGCTAAGAATAATTGGGTTTAAGTTAAAAGAAATAGACTCACACCTTTGGGCCTACAAATTTTCTTGTTGGACAAAGACAAACTCAAAAATCCTACCAAAATATTAATTAAACTTAGTTAAGTAAATAAACAAAATTTTAAAATGAAACTACTTTTTTTTTTGTATTTTTAAATGTTATAACAATAAAGTAAAAAGTAAAGAAAATAGACTAAAGTCACGATAAAATTAAGATACCATGAATAAAAATATACTAATTGATCTTAAACTAAAGATAAAAATATAGAAAAGCGATAAACACAATAAATAAAACTATTTTATGTTTTTTTATGTCTTAGGACTAAAAGTAAAAAGATTAAAATTATATTAAAATAAAGTCAAGTAAATATTTTAAAATATTAAAATACTAAAACTAACTTTAAAATTTACACGGGTCAAAAATTACATGCTTACAATATACATACATTAAGTAATTACTCTAAAAAAGTATTTTTATCTTTAAATAGTTTAATTTATGCGCTAATAAATATATTTTTATTTTTACGTAATAATTTGATGCGAATACTATTTAATATTGTCTATCAAACACTATATTATCTTATACGAGACTTTATTGACGAGATAGATTATTTCTATGCCCAAACCAAACAAATGTATAATGTTATGGGGAATTTTGCTAAGACAAATTATTTCTATATCGAAACCAAACGACCCTTCCTACTTGTTTGGATGATTGTTATTATTTCATAATGTATCGTATCGTATTGTATTGTGTTGTACTATATCGTTTGATAAAAATAATAGTTGGATAGATTGTGTCGTTTGCCATCGTTTCATGATATCATGCACCAGCAATATGAAGAATAAATTTGTAATATTATAACGAAAAATTATGATACAGGGTAAAATTACTATGTAAAAAGGTAGGATAAATGATAAAATAAAATTATTTAATAATAATAAAGGGTGAGATTGAGAGAAAAAGATAAGATAACGATGCGACCACACCAAATCGGTCATTACATAAAGTGGGCACTTTTCGTCGTTACGTAACGACGGATTTAATGATACGATACAATAAAATTTAAGTAACAATCAAAACATATTTAAAGTAACAAATACGATGTAAATACAATGGGTAACAACCATCCAAACAAGCTGTTAACAATTGATAATACCAGTATAATAATAATAATAATAATAATAATAATAATAATAATAATAATAATAATAATAATAATAATAATAATAATAATACCAGTATATATTTGTACGAAAGAAAAGAAAAAGAGAAGACACCCCTTACATCGTGGGTGAGAATCATTTCAATGGTAGAAATCATTATTTTTTCACCGTTTACCTGATCAAGAATTTACCCAGAAACAGAGAGAGAGAGAACGGGAGATTCTTTTTGTTGATGTACGTAGACAGACAAGGAACAGAGAGAGGAAAGGGAGAAGAATGGAAGGGACCATGACGAAGAGGTAATTGTAATAGATTCCAAACTACAAATACACAGAGACGGATTTACGTGGAGGGGTGGGTACATGCACCCATGCTCCCCTCCCTAGACTATGTATAAAATACTAATTTTTCAATTATGTGATTAAATATATTTGTGGCCATCCATGCTCAAGTGCTTGGTTTGGTGCATTGGTGACTAAGTGCCCCTCTTATCTTCTTTTTGTCACCAAGGTCAGAGGTTTGATAAACTTTTTTGAATGATTGTTTAATTTGCTATATAGAGCGTGCGATATTTAAAACTATAAGTAATGATGTTATTATTGATTATTTTCAATAAAAACTCGTCGAGGACAATTGTAAAGTGAATAATATTTTTTACGAATATAATATTAATATAGTTTGCTCGTCAACTTGCCGCCATCATAAAATTTTATATAATGGAACCAAACATCTATCTTAGGGGTCGTTTCGTAGGGTGCATAAGAATAATGTTGAATATGGTGTATTAGTAATGCTGATATTAGTTATGCTTGCATTAGTTATGCTGGTATTAGTTATGCTGACATATTTCTTATCCATTGTTTGGTTTGATGTATTAAAGCATTGCACAATTTCTAAAAGAATTGCTTGTTTACAAAAATACCCTCAAAACTAGTCAATCACTCAAACTTTTTAAAAAAACATATGTTGAGAAATATTTTTATATGAAAAAGTTTTAAAAAATTATTTGATTTGTCTACCTATATTGTAAAATAGAACTAAATATTTATTTATAAAAAAGGAAATATGCTAAGTATTTATTTATTTACTAGAGATATAATTTTATTTCTCACTATTTGAATTATTTTAAACTTGCATTAATATAATAACTAGTATATTTTAATCAAACATAAATTTTGAAGGACAATTTTGTCTTTAGCTAAGCTAATATATGCATTAAAACTCATTGCATTGCTAATACCATGGTTTTCTATGCATTGATTATGCATAGGATAATACCAACTAATGCTTGCATAACTAATGCATAGGTTCAAAATGTCTACCAAATAAGGTATTATTAATACTCAAAGCTAATGCAAACATTATTTTATCTAATGCATCATACCAAATGACCCCTTAAAAATAATAGTGCACCCATGATATTAAAATCCTGGATACGCCTCACACCTAACTAGGCATAAGGCCAATAACCAGGAACCATCACATTCTACTACTATATTATTACACTATTTTCTTTTTATAAATCTTTAATTCTCCTATCTTTTTTGTATACATATATGCGAACTTAGCTTTGCAGATACACACATATTCATATATCTTCTCTCCTCTTTCTTCTTTGTCATTCGTAGGTCCATTTTTCTCGACCCATTAATACATTCTTGAATAGATTTTTTAAGTCACAGTGATAGCGGAGAATTTTTGGGGTTTTAATCTTTGTCTGATATATAATTGTATCGGACACGTAATATTAGAGGTAATTTTTTTCTTCTTCTAATCTTCCAATTGCTGTGCATTTCTTTCCTGTAAAAGCTGAATTATTAGGACACTCTGGGTTCTATCTTCTTCTTTTTTTTCCGTGTCAGATCTTTTTCAGATCCTGGCATTGTGACCTTTGCTGTCTTTTTCACCATTGGATTTTCTATAATTTGGTGAAAAAGGTTATTGGTTTTAACTTTTTTTCTTGAATTAAGATGAACAATATTCTGCAAGATTTGGTTTTAGAGGAACGAAATGACCATAAAGATTGAATCTTTTTGTTTCTATTTAAGGTATTCTTGCATTTAATATCTTTTTCTCTTCTGTTATTACTTTGTCGGCAAGTTTATTTTGGGAATAAATAACAAGCCATTCAACCAATGAGTTTCAAACCATAAATTTCTTCGTCAACTACTCTTGGTATTTGTTTTTTTTTTTACACAGTTCAAGTTAGATGCAAAAGCATTAGTAGTTTGGTTTCATAATTCAACCTTTTTAGAGGCTTTTGGAGGGCCCTCAGCTGAATTTGATAAAGCTCTTGGGGGTCCCTATGTCATGTGTTGAATATAAAGATGAGGTGACATGTAAAGTCTTTAGTCTTAACAGATCTCATGGTTTTCATTAGTTAGTTATTAGTGGCTGCCTCTGACCATTAGATCTGTATGGGCCTATGCTTTTCTCATTGTTTATTGTTTGGACTTGTGAGTTTTCCAGTTGTAAAGGTAGTAGAGTACTGTATTCTTAGTTGTGACTCTATTCTATTCTGTTATTAAAAACTTTTTTGCCTTAATAGTTAAGTGTTATGTTTACATTCTATTGTTTTTCTTGAAGATCCATCTAAAGAAGCTAGGATTTGTAATCAATTTCAAATGTTTGTATGAGTGGAAATGATTTTAACCATGTTGTTTGCTTCTTATGCAGGTAAGTAATCAATAAAAAGTGACAACATGGGGCACAAAGATGGAAAACCATATCCACCGGATAAAAATTCCTGGAAAATTCCCGTGGCGTTAATGGTTGTGGTGCTCTGTGGGTTTTCATTCTATCTTGGTGGAATTTTTTGCTCCGAAAAGGAGAGATATGCAACTAAGGAGGTTAACAGGGAAGATGAAACTGAAACTCCCATAGGGAATGCTGCTGGTCCTCTACAGACCAAAGCCGTTTCCTTTTCTGAATGTAGTGCTGACTATCAGGACTATACTCCATGCACAGATCCAAGGGTATTGTTTTCTTGACTAATCTAGTTCTTGTTAACTTTATTCTTTGATGTGTACTCAACCATCTATTGCTGCTATTGCAGAGATGGAAGAAGTATGGTCTTCATCGACTTACTTTCATGGAACGCCATTGCCCTCCTACTTTTGAAAGGAAGGAATGCTTGGTCCCCCCACCAGATGGCTATAAAGTGCCAATAAGATGGCCTAAGAGCAAAAATGAATGTTGGTACAGGTAATACTAATGTTCGATATCTTTGTTTGTCTATGTTTTGTTGTTGGATTCATTCGTAAACATTGATTTTTGCTAATTTTGATCTGGCTTCAGGAATGTCCCGTATGATTGGATTAATAAACAAAAATCGAATCAACATTGGCTGATAAAAGAAGGTGAAAAGTTCATCTTTCCTGGTGGTGGTACTATGTTCCCCAATGGTGTTGGGAAATATGTTGATCTGATGCAAGATTTGATTCCACAAATGACAGATGGGACCATCCGCACTGCCATTGATACCGGTTGTGGGGTGAGTGCCTATAAATTTAAGTTTGTGGTATGGCACTTTAACTAGCATCGTCACTCTAGGCAAAGTCTCATTGATTAGTGTCAACGAGGAATTCCACATCCACAGGCATACTTCTCTTCCACTATGTTTTATCACGAGATATTAGGTTGATTTATCTCTCAACTCAATGTTGCGCTAAATTTGATCATGAAGTCATAACCATTCTGCTAATTATGTATTTGGTAAACAGTTTACAGCTGCTAGCTGATCTTTATTGTTCGTCATATCACATCTTCTTATCTAATTATTTAATAATCAAACATTTCGTTATCTGATGTTTCTCCTGAGAAATTTTGTTGAGATGTATAGTCTGGAATTCGTTTGGGATTGAGGTGTGATTGATTGATAGATTGACGTATAATCTAGAATTCCTGCTTACTTTTATGTTTTTCTTCTTTATCTAGGTGGCAAGCTGGGGTGGTGATCTGCTAGATCGTGGAATTCTGACAGTCTCTCTTGCCCCAAGAGATAATCATGAAGCTCAAGTTCAGTTTGCTCTGGAACGTGGAATTCCTGCGGTTCTGGGCATCATTTCCACACAGCGTCTTCCTTTCCCTTCAAACTCTTTTGACATGGCTCATTGCTCAAGATGCCTAATTCCATGGACCGAATTTGGTAGGAAACCTATTTAGAAAATGTTATATGCTTATCTTGATTGTATTCCATAGTGTGATTGCACATTCTGCTGTAGGATGGTTGCAAATCCAGCCTGTTTATACTTCTATATGATGCAGGCCAGAAATTGGAAATGCTTTATCAGTATGCTTTTCTAATTCAGCCTTCACTATTGGCAGGTGGAGTTTACCTTCTTGAAATACATCGTATACTGCGCCCTGGAGGTTTCTGGGTCCTTTCTGGCCCACCAGTGAACTATGAGAATCGTTGGAGAGGATGGAATACCACCATTGAGGAGCAGAAATCAGATTATGAGAAGTTGCAAGATTTGCTCACTTCAATGTGCTTCAAATTATTCAACAAGAAGGATGACATTGCCGTGTGGCAGAAATTGACAGACAATAGCTGCTATAAGAAACTTGATAACCCTGACAATTACCCTCCAAAGTGCGATGATGGTACTGAACCTGATTCTGCGTGGTACACTCCTCTCCGACCTTGTGTAGTTGTGCCAAATCCAGCTGCAAAGAAGCTTAAGTTGAATGCCCTAGCCAAATGGCCACAACGGTTGCATGTTGCCCCAGAACGTGTTTCTGATGTTCGTGGAGGTAGCGAGGGTGCCTTCAAGCATGATGATGTTAAGTGGAAGGTGCGAGCGAAGCACTACAAGAAGTTGCTCCCAGCTATTGGAACTGAGAAGATCAGAAATGTGATGGACATGAACACCTTGTACGGAGGTTTCTCTGCTACTCTGATTGAGGATCCACTTTGGGTCATGAATGTGGTTTCCTCTTATGCTGCAAACACGCTTACTGTGGTCTACGACAGAGGTCTCATCGGAACATTCCATGACTGGTAATTTCGATTTTGCTTGCAAAATTGAAGCCTAAACTGCAGCAGTTGATTGATTCATTTGTAACTTAGTCTCTTTGTTGTTATATAGGTGTGAGGCCTTCTCAACGTATCCTCGAACATATGATCTCCTTCACCTTGACGATCTCTTCACTTCTGAAAGTCATAGGTAAGAACATTGCACCTCTAAAGCTTAACCCCCACCCCATCCTTTAGTAAGTAATGTTCCCATCAGTTTAATTATCATTTCTAAGCGTCGATCCTGACATAAGTTATGTGTATCTTACAGATGTGAAATGAAGTATGTACTGCTGGAAATGGATCGTATTTTGCGGCCTAATGGGTATGCAATTATCCGGGAGTCCAGCTACTATGTAGATGCAATTGCCACTATGGCTAAGGGCATGAGATGGAGCTGTCGTAAAGAAGACACAGAATATGGCGTAGAGAATGAGAAGATATTGATTTGTCAGAAGAAGCTCTGGTATTCAAAGCAGAGTTCAGAATAAACTATGCAAGTTTTGATTAAATAGAATAGTGATAAATTTACAATACAAGCCCATACGAGAAAAACTCCGGAGCTCACAGAGAATTATTTGCTCTACAGATAACAAGAAATTGAGATTTTGAATTTGGTACCCAAAATAACCATGTCTGTGCTAATCTCATGGTTCCATGTCATGCTATAATTATTCTTTGTAAGGATCAAGCCTTGTCCTTTGTTGTATTCTATCGTTTCTTCATTTACCTTCTTAGAGCTGGCTATGATAAATGTAGTCTTTTATAAGTAACGACATTACAGCCTCCTTATTTATGTATCTAGTTAAATTTGTTCACTGTCGAGTTCTCATGGTTTAACATTCAAAAGTTGATATTTAAGTATATTCGATTTTGTTGAAAACTTGTGGTGAATCGAGAGTTGTACTTGCATCGTATTCGTTGGNGGGAGGGATAGGTTGTAATGTTTCTTTTCTTTCTCGAGGTAGTCGACTAATTTGCGTTCCAGTCAACTAGACTTTTCAGGAACAGAATGTAAAAGATAAATTGCAGAAAGTAAATGACACAATATATTTTTATACTGGTTCGGATTTAGAGTGAAAGGTGATCTCTTTCGAGTATGAAGTAACTTAGTACAGATGAGTTGGTGTTATACACTATCAGCTTTTATCACTTTGTTCTTCTCTCTATAATTGATACAATGCCTCATTAATATTCTTTTCTTTCTCTCTTCTCTTCTTTGTTACTCAAGAAATCTAAAGCAAACTACAATATTTTATTTGAAGTATAACAAAGAGATTGAAGTTGGTTTGATCAAAGTATATCTTTCCAAGGCTGGTGCAGTAGGTATTTATACTTCTTGAGGCCTTCAAGTCTTGTACGTCTTTTTGAGAGATTGCAAACCCAATGAAGTTGAATTCAGAAGGAATCGTAAATTGATTCTTTCCAAGATTGATTCTTTTGTTGACTTGCCTTGACTCGGGGCTTGAATTATTTCTTCCTTAAATGAGAGAATATTCCCGTTGCTAAATCCCTTGATTGATGCTTCCGTTGACGTCTTTATATAGGAGAATCTTTAGCAGATGATTTTGTGCCCTTGATCTCTTTTGATTGAGATCCTTCCTATAGTATCCTTTTTGATTGATTTTGCCAGCTTCCTTGATTGATTTTTCCGCTTCTCTTTCCTTTTTTTTCATTTGATTCATTTTTGCCTCCATATGCCTCCATTCTATTGCTCAGAACTTGTTACTGCACATAAGGAGTATTGGTTATTTTGCATAACTGAAATCAACTTAGATCTAACAATCCCCCCTTCTTGATGATGACAAAATAACAATAAAAATACTTCCCTGTTGATCAGCTACCTTAAGTGTGTTGTGGTCAACTCCCCCTCAATATGCGTTTCTTGGTAGATATGTCTAGTCGACTCCCCCTCAGTTGAACATTATGTTGTACCTCAGTTGTAGTCGACTTTACCTCAGTTGTATACCGTATGATGTACTTGTAAGTTGAACATCTGCAGGAAAACAGAGCACAAAATATAGAAACACTAAACCAGGGAATACATAGAAACACAGCTCTTAAGCTTGCTTACTATTTCTCCCCCTTTGTCATCTACAAAATTAAGGAAGGCAGGAAATTAAGAAGTATTTGTCCTAAGAGTACAACCCATGACTGAATCATCAGTCGCAAAATAAAGCAAAAAAAGAAATTTTCTTAAACAACCAAACATCAACGATGCAGAAAATAGGTAAGGGTGTTGCAAGCTGGCGTTCACTGTGACAAAGACCCCATCAATTCTGTCGTGCATCTCTTTGAAGGCCCTAACTGCTTTTTCTTTAGTCTTGAGAATCTACACTCGAATCTTGGACATGTCGGACCATGGGTCCTTTGCCATTCCATGGATATCTTCAATCTTGCTTTGCATAGAGGTTAAGGAGTCTTTGATGATAGACAATGTTTCACTGATGGAGACAAGCTTTTCTAAGAGGTCAGAATCACTTGTATTGGGGTGAGACACTAAAGATTTTGCCTTGGAGTCGGAGGGGACATTCTTGGTTTCACCTTCTTGTTTCTTGACCCAGGCCCCCTTTACAGAAATATAACCCATGCTAGCAAATCCCCTGGAATTGTAAGACTTGGTGACAGTGATGTAGGGATGGTCAATAAGGGAAGACTTGTTGGCTTCTAGCAGATGAGTGATAACCATACCATAAGGAAGACTTGTGGGGTCATCGACACTTTCTATCATGAAATTGATGACCCAAGAAGACAACTTGCCCTTGTGCTTAGTCAAAAGATAGAAAACTAGGAAGGTATCACGCTAGGAGAAGGTAGAGGATCCTGTTCTTGGAAGAAGAGTGGTTGCTACAATATATGTGTGATGACCCAAAAGGCCATCACTTATTTTTCAAGTAAATTCTGTGATCCGAGGTCTTAAAAACCTCTCTTTGTCTCACCTCAATTTGCGTGCACAGTCCGGGCGCGTTTCCGGAAAGCTTTTATGTGAAAACTAAGTGAAATAAGGAATTTGCTTTTAAAATTGAATTAAGTTGACTTTGGTCAATATTCTTAGTAAACGGATCCGTGCTCGTGATCCGACGGTCTCATAGGGTCCGTAGTAAAATTTGGGACTTGGGTGTATGCCCGAAATCGAATTCCGAGGTCCCAAGCCCGAAAAATGAATTTTTGAAGAAAATTATTTTCTGGAAAACATAAAGGTTTTTCGAAGCGAATTGATGCATTTTCTTGACGATATCAGACCCGTATCTTGGTTCCGAAGCCCGGTACAAGTTTGAAATAATGATTAAGATAAATCTGTAATTGGTAAAGATCGGAGTTGGTTTGGTATAAAACGGACCTAAAGTTGAGAAATTGGAAAACTTGATGTTTTGAATGATTTCATGAATTTGAGGTTTAATTCATAGTTGTTTATGTTATTTTGATGATTTGATCATACGAGCAAGTCCGTATGATATTTTTAGGCTTGCGTGCATGTTTGGTTGGGAGCCCCGAGGGCTCAGATGAGTTTTGGATAGGCCACAGAGTGCATTTAGACTTAGAGAAAATAGTTGCAGGTTGCAGATCTGGTGCTGGCCTCTGATCTCGCAATTGCGAGATCAGGTGATCGCAAATGCGAGGTCTGTGGACTTGGGAATTGCGAGGGGCTCTTCGTAAATGCGAAATAAGCCCTGGCCAGCCTTGCTCGCAATTGCGAGCATTTCTTCGCAAATGTGAAAACCCCAGAAATCCCCAGTCGTCGCAAATGCGACTATCCCTTCGCAAATGCGAGTTCACAATTGCGAACATTGATCGCAAATGCGAAGATAGCAGGTCCTGAAGGGGTCGCAATTGTGAACCCTGATCGCAGCTGCGACATCTGCGACCTGCAAAATCATAACTTAGCCGAAAATTTCCCATTTTTCAAACTCTTTCAAAAGATAAACTCTCTTGGGCGATTTTCCAAAGAAAAATTCTTCTCCAAATCGATTGTAAGTCATTTCTAACTTGGTTTCTTCAATTTTTACCATCTTTTCACATGATTTCAACTCAAAATCAAGGGTTTTCATGAGAGAAATTGGGTGTTTTGGGTAGAACTTAGGTTTTTCAAATCTTAGGGATTTGGACCTCGATTTGAGGTCCAATTTCAAAACAAATTATATATTTGGGTTCGTGGATGAATGGGTAATCGGGTTTTGGTTCAAACCTTGGGTTTTGAGCATGTGGGCCCTAGGTCGATTTTTGAATTTTTGGGGAAATCTTCATAAAACCTATTTTCATGCATTAAAATTGATTCATTTAGCATTTATTGATATCATTAAGTAAATTGTGGCTAGATACAAGCGAGTTGGTGGTGAAAATAAGAGGTAAAGCGGTAGTTGAAGCTTGAATTGTGTTCGTGGCATTGAGGTAAGTGTTTGGTCTAACCTTAGCTTGAGGGATTAGGAGTTGTGTCTTATTTTCTATGTGTTAATTGTGGAGTACGATGTATAGGCATGGTGACGAGTATATATACGTCGGTGTCAAGCTTGTCCGTGAGTCTAGTATTGTAATTGTTGTAACTCCGTTGTGGTTATTCATGCTTAATACGATGCTTATCATTGTTGGTTCCCTTGCTGGGATGTTATTATTTTATGATATTGTTTCCCTTACCGGGATGTTATTGATTATGATATTTTTTCCTTTACCGGGATGTTATTGGTTACGATATTGTCTCCCTTGCCAGAATGTTGTTGTTATACTCTTGTTCCCTTGCCAGGATTTTTCTTAAGATTAATGTTGATTTGTAAATGGGATCGGGTGGCACGCCGCCGCGGTGATATTTGAAATAGGAGCGGGTTGCATGCCTGCAACAAGATATATAAAATGGGAGCGGGTTGCACGCCTGCAACAAGATATATGAAACGGGAGCGGGTTGCACGCCTGCAACAAGATATATGAAACGGGAGCGGGTTGCACGCCTGCAACGAGATATATGAAATGGGAGCGGGTTGCACGCCTGCAGCGAGATATATGAAATGGGAGCGCGTTGCACGCCTGCAACAAAATATATGAAATGGGAGCGGGTTGCATGCCTGCAACGAGATATATGAAATGGGAGAGGGTTGCACGCCTGCAGCGAGATATATGAAATGGGATCGGATTGCATGCCTGCAACAAGAAAGAAATGAAAGTGAATACTGTGCTTCTTTTCCTCATTATTGTTGGCAATTAAATTCTGGTTTCTTTACATTCCTCATTGGTATTTTGTTGTTATCTGATACTCCCCGTAGCATGCTTTCCCCTCCCCCTCTTTAACTGTGAATATCTGTTTTTATTTTCCGTTGTATATGATTTAACTGCACAGGTTTATTTGGTAGTCTGGTCCTAGCCTCGTCACTACTGCGCCGAGGTTAGGCTAGGCACTTACCAGTACATTGGGTCGGTTGTGCTGATACTACTCTGTATTTATCCCCCAAAGGCTACAAAGTTAGGAAAAACCTCACATCTATTCTTTCCTGTCATGTGGTTTGGTTTCTCAATGCTAATTGAATTTCTACTCTATTCTTTCGCAGATGGAGAGAACACGCGTTTCCTTATCCACTGATCAGCAGCCCGAGCACCTAGACGCAGCTCCCACGAGGGGCAGAGGGCAAAGCCGAGGCCGTGCTAGAGGTCGAGGTAGGGGCAGAGCTCAGCCCAGAGCAGCAGCACCAACGGCGGAGCTTCAGGTTGAGTTTGATGATGAGTTTCCGACCCAAGTAGTTCCGGTAGGCCCAGCTCAGGTCCCAGAGGGTTTCATTGCTATCCTAGTACTCCAGGATACTCTGGTCTGTCTAGTGGGCTTTATGGAGAGTGTC